AAGGCTATATCCTGTACAAGAAAGACTGTATTGGGAAGAGGGATGGGGGTGTAGCTCTGTCAAGGAGCAGTACACTTCCCTTCAAACTGAGATCACTAACCATGAAAGGCGTCTTGAGACCCTCTGGGTTAAAATATGGGGAGAGCATGGGGAAGGAGATATACTTGTAGGAGTCTATTATAGACGTCCCCACCAAGAAGAAGAGCTGGACTGCGAATTCAGTAGGGAAATGGCTGAGGCTGCATGGTTCTGATGCATGATCGTCATGGAGGACTTCAACCTCCCTGACATCTTGTAGGAAGAGCACATGGCCAAAGCTGACTGGTCACGTAGCTTTTTTGCTTGCATTGATGACCTTTACCTAACGCAAGAGGTCTACGGGCTGACATGGGGAAAGGCACTGCTGGATCTGGTTCTGGCCAAAGGGGACAATCTGGTGAGCAATCTGAGGATCAAGGGGGAGCTTGGTGACAGCAACCATGAACTGATCACTTTTTCTGTCCAACGCAGGGCGGGCAAACCCCTCAGTAAAACAGAAATTCTCAGCTTTGGGAAGGCTGACTTTCACAACCTCAGAAGATTGGTCAGTCAGGCACTAAGAGGTCATGGCCCCTTACAAAGCGGAGTCCACGAGGATGGTTATTCCTTAAGAATGCAATCCTTGAAGCGCAAGGGAAGTCCATTCTGTCCCACAAGAAATGCAGTCAGCAGGCAGGGAAGCCCCCTTGGCTAAACGGGGAACTGTTGGACCTTCCAAAACTTAAAGGAGAAGCTTGTGCCAAAAGGAAAATGGGAAGCATCACCAAGGAAGACTACTCAGCACTAGCCTGCACATGTAGAGAGTAGTCCAGAAAAGCCCAGGCAGAAACCGAACTCAGGCTAGCCACAGAAATGAAGGACAACAAAAAGTCCTTCTTCAGATATGTGGGAAGTTGGAGAAAGAACAAAGGCAACATTGGACCCCTGCGAAATCAAATGGGGCAGCTGACGTCTAACACCCAAAAAAAGGCCAATCTCCTAAACGATTACTTTGCCTCAGTCTTCCACCCATCCATGGAGGTCACACTGTCCGACTGGATGCAAAACACCCAGGGAGTGGGAGGCAGGCCCACAATTGACATCGATAAGGTGAGGGAACACCTTGAGAGGCTAAACATCCAAAAGTCAGTGACCCTGGATGAAATGCACCTAAGTGTCTTAAAGAAGCTGATGGACATCATAGTGAACCCTGTGGTGAAGATATCTGAAAATTTTTGGTGCTCGGTAAGGTTCCGGAAGACTGGAAAAGAGCCAACACGGTCCCAATCTTCAAGGAAGGAAGGAAGGAGGATCCAGGGAATTCCAGGCCAGTCAGTCTGACGTCCATCCCTGGAAAGATCTTGGAGAAAATCATCAAGGGATCCGTCAGCAACAGGCTAACGGAAGGCACCCTTCTGAATGCCAGCCAACATGTTTTTTTTACTGGTAGGTCTTGCCTGACCAACCTCATCTCCTTCTATGACCAGGTGATATATTGCCTGGACAGGGGAGACTAGGTTGATGTATAGCTGGATTTCAAGAAAGCCTTTGACTTTGGTCTTTCATGATGTCCTCATGGTTAAGCTGGGGAGCTGCGACCTCGACCATCACATGGTCCAATGGCTGGGAAACTGGCTCCGGGGTCAGACCCAAAGAATACTAGTGTCACAACCCAATTAAGTAGTGCCCATGTCACAAGCAAGTAAAACCATTCAAAGCAGTTTTATTTTACACTAGGTTAACTAAGGGTTAACTAACAAGATGATAGTAAGTTTTTTTTTGCTGTGCATGTCAAAAAGAGATTTATAACTACGACCCTAACTAGAAATGAAACAGCCTTCTGTGCTTTACATAAATCATTATAACTGGTCAGAGAAAACAGGGAGTAGCCCTGTGAAATAACGCCCTAGCGAAGACCGCTAGATAATTGGCGATTCTAATTAAATTTATGACGTGGCGAAAAGCAATTGGCTATTACACAAATAAAACCCGTTTTCACTTCCATGAAGTCGGAGAGCGACTCCGTATACATCTGGAGACCTCTGACATACGTGTCAGAGTAAACTGGCAATTTGATCGCTTGCCAGTTCGCCCCCCGTCTCGACCCAATCTCAGACGTAATCGACGACCGCCGGCCCGACCTTCGGCCCGACCACTTTTGCGAACTGACCTACTTTGCAGACCGACCTCATGAACTCTAAGCTGTAACTAACCAAGTATCTGTCTTTCACCACCTTGACGGCGTGAGTAAATAATCTTGCTTTACAACCGATAAGCGTCTGCCTAATTAATTCCACTCCAAGCGTCACAAGTACCCGCCTGACGGCTTCTAAGGTCCCGACCCCCCCGCTGCAGTGCATGGCAGCGACAACTAGTTGATGGGAGCAAATCAACGTGGTGTAAGGTGACCAGTGGCATCCCTCAGGGCTCAGTACTCAGGCCAGTTCTCTTCAATATCTTCATTAATAATCTGGATTCAGGCATCAGATGCGGGCTGGCAAACTTTGTGGATGACACTAAACTATGGAGGAAAGCGGTCACGCTGGAAGACAGGCTGAGGTTACTGACCGACCTGGACACACTCGCAAGGTGGGCGGACCAAAACCTGATGGCCTTCAACATAGAGAAGTGCAGTGTGCCCCACCTTGGGAGGAAGAATCAGCAGCATACTTATAGGCTCGGCAATGCTACACTCGCTAGCACCATGACCAAAAGAGACTTTGGGGGCTTGATTGACCTCAAGAATGAATATGAGCCACCAATGTGGTGCCATAGCTGGCAAAGCAAAGCAAACTCTGGCATGCATCCACTGATGCATCTCGAGCAAAACTAGGGCTGTCATGCTCCCACTTTACTTGGCCTTAGTGAGGCTGCAGCTGGAGAACTGCATCCAGTTTTGGGCCCCCCACTTTAGGAGGGACGTGGATAAGCTTGAAAGAGTCCAAAGGAGAGCCACCCATATGATCAAAGGCCAAGAGGGCAAGCCTTATGAGGACAGTCTGAGGGACTTGGGACTCTTCAGCCTGGAGAAGAGAAGGCTCAGCGGGGACTTGGTGGCAGCCTATAAGTATATAAGAGGTGTGCATCAGGACCTGGGAGAACAGATGTTCACCAGAGCTCCCCAAGGGATAACAAAGTCTAATGGCCACAAACTCCTGGAAGGCTGATTTAGACTGGACATAGGAAAAAGCTTATTTACAGTCTGTGTGCCCAGGGTCTGGAACAGACTCCCCCCAGAAGTGGTGCAAGCACCTACTCTGGATTCCTTCAAAAGGCGTCTGGATATTTATCTCACTGGGATCATTTGACCCAGGCAGAGTTCCTGCCTATGGCAGGGGGGCTGGACTCGATGATCTCGCAAGGTCCCTTCCAGCCCCTAACATCTATGAAAATGCTGTGCCTGGCCCCTAGATGAATAGAAGACATCAGTTTGCAGGGTTTGTAAATCCAGTACTTTCACCAGCATTACATTCCTACACAAATTTTGAAATACAGAAAACGTGTGTGTGGGCAGGGGGGGAATGTATTCTCTCCCCCCCCCCATATATATTACTCCACTTTCTGCCATTTTACTATGCTTATGTATCCTTTATACAAGTAGTAGAACACAATAATAAAAAGCTTTCACTGCCAGCTCCTTCCTTTTTTATTCTTCCTGCCCCATAAATCTACTTTACACATTGAGGGTCATGGAGCTATCCTTCATGTGTCATCACGAAGGGAACAGAGCAGTTCAGATGCAGAATAGTAGTACTGAATGTAGTTTCTTTTTAAGACAGTTTTTTGCTCCTATATAGCTCACTTTATTTCTCCGTAAGTTCATGTTGATGACCACATCTTGATCTCTGGAAACTTTTCAGTTAAACACATTTAGAAGTTTCTTTCCACTGTAATTTGAAATTTACTGTTTAAAAACCTTCATTTTTCATGCTTTGCAACCAACATTGGTAAGATGAGTACTCAGTCAGACTGATCCCCTTTTTTTACTTCTACCTACCATTAATAAGCAGGAAAAAAATAACATTTAGCACAGATCTTTAATATCTCCATTGTATTGTGTTCCATTCAATTAGGATCTGGCTAGTTGAGCTGACACCCATTGAACTTAGCTGTTCTGCCCCCAAATTGTGTTCATTGGGAAAAATGACTACATAATTGAAGGACAGTGCCATTAATTAATTTGCAATGGTCCTATCTGTGGAAAGCTCTGACTCTGAATATAATCTGCATCTAAGTCAAGAATATGGATTATAGGAAGCGATGTGATTAAAAAAAATATGTTTTAGTAGTTTTATATTTTTTTTGTCTCAGATGTTCGGATCTAACACGTTCTGTTTATAATGCCAAGGATGATTTTTTTTTTTTTTTTTCTGCACAACCGTCAGCACTGAAAAGCTACATCAATTAAGCTGTTTTCTGACTCTTACACCATGTTCAGTAATAGGGATTCTGGAAATGGAACATAGCTGACAGTTTTGTGATGATGCTTGAGGCAGAATTGTTTTCAGTTTCCTTTTTCTGTATTCACTCTGAAGTGTTAACTGTAACAAAAACTTGGTTTCCCATCTGTCTTAGGGTTTTATACTTCCATCCATCACCATAATATCTGAGCACCTGTGTAAAATCAATAGGTTTTCTTCAGTAAATAAATGTGACTCATAAAAATAAAGGGAGCAAAACATGTTGGTTACAAATATTTGAATATAATGTGTTGCTATAAAGAAGGTGCTTTTTTACAGAGCTCCTTTTCTAACTGAATTGTTTTGAGGCTTTACCTGTGGCATAACCAATGACAATGCAAGTAATAATATGTTTCTGTAGTGCATTTTCAATTAACTTTATCATCGATGCATCTGATACTTGCATCTTTCATATGAATTTTGTTAAATAAAAGGGGTTCGTTATTTTTTTTTTCATTGTAGCATTTAGGATTGGGGAGTACAAAGTGGAAATAAACAGTATATTTTTTACTTGTATTTCAGGGGATATAATTTTTAATGCCCACTATCCAGAGCTGCCACCGGATTTTATCTTTGGAGAGGATGCTGAATTTCTGCCAGATCCCTCTGCTTTGCATGTGAGTACACCTTCAGTGTTTTATGTGATCATGATATGCTGGAGAGGCTTATGGAACAGTTTAATAATAGGAATTTACTAACAATGCAGAATAATTTTAATCTGTATTTGACGCTCTTGTGAACATATAGACATTTTCTCCTGCTGTAATGATTGAAACATTAAATAAAAACAAATTTTATGAAATCAACTTTAAATCAAGACAAGACATTGGAGGCCCCATATCTTGTCTGTAGTAAATACCCGTTCAGTGTGTCTATTTTAAAGAAAATATTTTATCTACTTAGCACTTGATAATTTCCAATATTTGCTTCTTTACAGCACAGGATTAAGCTTTGTTCTTACCTTTAAAACATTTAATGGTTAGAAATTGGGTTGTGCTGTTCTTTTGGTACCATATTAATACCAGCAAGAGGAGAAACCAGGTGGAGACATACTGTGGACACTTGTCAGACAGGACTCTAAAATTTATACTTACAGTGAAGTGGTACTGCAGTCAAAACAGGAGCAAGCTTTGGAGCAGAAAAATAATAAAAATCAACCCATTAGGTAGACAATAATTTGTTACAAAGTGTTGTTAATATGAAAATTGATATAAATTATCTAAATATGAAGTACTAGGTACTTAAATTTGCCTATAATGATAATCTGTTCAGTTCATAAGTGAACTTTGGTTGTATACATGTAATACATCACATTAAGGTGTTTCTCCAGTCAGAAAAACATGCCTTTTGTTTAACGCTCTAGTAACTTTCCTGCCCAGTGGGAGTCGAGATTGAAACAACTAAGTTTTCCGTAAAGATTTTGTAGTTTGCTGACTGCTGCTTGTAGCTGGTTTTATTCACTTGATGAATGATGATAAAAATATTGAGGTATCTTTTAGTCATGAATGCATGAGAAATGCATGCATTTGTCAGCAATAGGTTGCAAAAATTCAGCGTGGGCTTGTTATTGGTCCTTATTCCATTCCTATCAGTGTGTTCTCTTTTCAGCTATCCTATGTCCCTGTAATACTGTACCTGCACTTCTGCAATCCTGGAAAAGATGCGGTTGTGACACTGAAAATGTTGTCTCTTGCTATGGTACATCAAAGAGGCTAATTAGTTAGAGATGCTATTTCATACTGAAGGTTGAGTTTCATATGGTTCAGATCATTGCTAAAATGAGCTAGCCAAAGCTGTGTATTTTGGGATGTTTTGTTTAGATTTCTCTAGAATTAGTGTTTCTGTATCTTGACAAAGACACTTGTGAACTCAAGGCAGGGAGGCATAAAACTGAAAATACCAATTTCTCTTTCACTTGCTTCCAGAACACTGAAGAATAAAAAATAAACATCACAAAAAGGGGAAAGTATTTTTTTATTCACAGTTTAAGATGTGTGTATACCATAGAGAGAAACAAAATTAATTGCTTAAATAGATTTAAATAGCTTTGTATTGTTACATCTGTTCAGGAATTTGATTTAATGATGGGCTGCTATCCCTATTTTAGGACTGTCTCATTAATTGTCAAATTCTTTATGTTCCCAGGCAAGATGTAATAATCTAGCACCCATTGCATTTTATTTATTATGTCCTTCAGAGAAGTTATAGAATATATGTTGTAATAAGTGAAGTCTGACATTTTTTATCAGTCTTTAATTCATCAGGCACCTGACTAGACCTTTTATGCATACACTGTGATTCAGGGGATCAGTGGTTGCCTACTTTAATTCATTTACAGTTCTTCTCTGTTTGTTTGTAATATTCCAATTTTCTTAATGGTACTTATCGCAACATCAGTTAAAGGTTTGTCTAACCGTCAGTGTACAAACTAAAGACTAACATTTTTGTGTAATAAAAAGAAAAATGAAAAGTGCAACAAAGGTATCTCTGAAGCAAAAGAAACTCTTGAAGGGAATTCTTCACACCTTGAAGAGGGGCTATTCATATAAAAGCTATTGATAAGTATGCCAGTACAACAGGAATCTGTATTTTGACTAACCATACCATATATACATCAGGTATACCTGCCATGTTTCTAATGTTAAACAAGTACATAGCGATAACAACCCAAACTTCTAATCCAGTGCTTCCCAAACTTTTCCTCAGTATGGCCCCTCATTTCTAGCCCACAGCCCCTCTCCCACATGACTCCATCTACTGATGTTGTGACCCACTTTGAGGTTGCAACACGCAGGTCGGGAACTGCTGTTGAATCCCTTTGCAAGCTTCTCCTTGCTTTATTCACCTTTTTTGCTTATCATCTTGCTTACTAATGGTTTTTACCATGAATACTAGCTTTGATGCTCTTTTTGTGTGCTTCTCTCACAGGCTCCTGCATGCTTTCATACATGTCACTTCCAATACACAGACATCCTTTCTACGTTGACTGTAAAGTTCCTCTTCTCCCTTAGTTGACATAATTTCCTGAAGGCCTATTTCTTTCATGACACCTACAAGATACTAATTACTTAACACGTCTGATATTTAAATTAATTAGAAACCTCCACAAATCAACACCTGTTCTTTAGTGTGCTGCACTCCAGCAATGTTTACTACGTGTGTTACCTTTGAAAGTTGTCCTTGTCCCGTTCCTGGAGCCCCCCTATTCTGCCTTGCCTCCACTTAGTGAAGTTCTTTGTATTGTTAGAAATGTAGCATACACATAGTTTCTCACAAATATGTATGTATGTATGTATTGTTGCTACAATTAGCACTTGATTAGCTCCTTTAATGCAAAGTTGTTCTTCAAGATTAGTAGGATATTTTACCCGCTGGCTGTAGGAAAAGCTGGTTAACAGACTGCACATAATTATATAATGAAACACTTCCATTTTTAAGCAATTCTTTATACTTTTTTGTAGTAGTTTCTGGCTGTCAAATTGAAGGAACAGAAGCATTGAAGTAAATGCAGTCCAAAGACTCCTTAAACAAATAGCAAATGTAGCAGAATTCCAGAAGACAGCAGATACGAAGCTGTTCTTTGAATGACCACAGCTACCTTAGCAGTTCGTTTCATGACATGCCGTCAAATGTTGCCATATGAGTGGTGTCATACATTGCAACTTGCCTAAAAACTACAAGCACTGGATACTCTAGATTCCTTGACCTCATATGATTCTTGCATGGCTTTCAGTAAATTTGCCAATGGAAAGCTGAATGAGAGAGGACAGCGGATGACTTCCACAAATTCATTTACTTTCTATAAACTGAGAGACCTTCACTACAGCAACCGAAAAGAACACGTATCGTTGCTAGGAATTGCTTCACTAAACAGCTAATACAGGATGTCAGGAATAACAGCTTTTAAAAATAAGTTGTGTTCTACTTTAAGCTTCTGCTTTCTTTACAAGATGCTAAAAGGACACCAAAAAATCACACCGAGCTTTCTGAATGAATACTCTGAAATTTCTGCAGGTAGGGCAAGGTTTTAAGCACCGATTCAGCAAAGTGTTTAACATCATGTTAGACAAAAGCAGATTGTTAACTGTTCTGGCCAATTGGGGGTCAGAATGCTTTAGCATTTTGCATGATTTGAGCTCTTAATGACTTAGATGTGCTACTGTATCTTTCATTTACAAAAACTGAAGTTACTGCAGTTTGACATTCTGCAGTTGTGACTCAGTTCTGCATTAAAAGATAATACACATCATTGTGTATTTTGTAAAATCAACTACTACACCTGGACAAAGTGGGCTTCCCATGCCAGAGTTTTTTTATGTGTATGTCTGAGAGATGTCCGAGACGGTATCAACTTTTTATTTTATGTTGCTTGGTTGCTACAAATGAAGGCTTGGCAAAATGCTTTAAAATTATGGAGTGGAAGGCACTAGGGAAGATCAAAGTGTTTTAGAAATAAATGTGTATGCTTTTATTTTCATTTTTTTTAATACTGTGGTAAACTACAGATATACATTTCTTACTTTTTGTGTGTGTATATAATAAAAATCAGATTCCCAGGGTGTAAATAGAAAAGTTCTCCCCCTTTGCAGTGTTTATTCATTTTGGTTGGCAAGTATTAGAAATGTATTAAAAAAACAACGTATGATTCACTCTATTCTGATTAAAAATTCAATTGGCACAAAATAAGATTAGTGATTCTTGTGTACGGATGAGATTAATTTGGAGCTCATTACAATGACGCCAGTTTGAGTAACAAGAATTGTTTGTTATATTAGCCTACTTGATTGTTAGTGTGAGCCAGTTAATAATTGAAGTGCATATGCAAAATGTTAACCCTGGTTTTCCAGTGTTTTGAAGTATATTCCGCTTGGCAGAATGTAGGCAGCAGTAGTAAAACTAAGCTACCTTTTTGAGTTTGGGAAGAATATCCCAATTGCCAATATACAGTAGAGATTTGAATCACTGTAGAGTCAAATCATCCATTTATTCTACTGAAATGCGGTAACGGTGTTTCCTTCATGAAGATGTTTCACAGAACATTGACTTCTTAGGGTTTTTAGCTGGTCTTCATAGGCCTTAATGATCTCGCAGTCCCTACCATAGTAGCAGGTATGATTCTTTACAAAACCTTCATTTATTTTTGTTTGCTCTTCCCTCTTTGAAGTGGCTATATTTGAAAGACCAGATAAATGATTCCTTCTACTTATGACAAATAGGGTTCCTTGGGTAAATCTAATGATCTTTTCTTAGACCAACTCAAATAGTTGGAAAAATTCTTCTTTGCAAGCTATCAGGTACAAATATCCTTTGTCAGGCTGAGGAAGCTCCTGTAGTTGGTTTGTGCTCAAATGGCACCTATCCTGGGCTCATTTTTTGCACATCTTTTATATTAATGCTGCTTTAGTGTTGTTGTGCTTGGGATGTGTTTGTAGATACAGTTCCCTGTATCTTGACCTAGGATTGACAATGAGTTGATTGTTTATTTTAAAGCATTCTGAAAAGATGTCCCAGCTGTCTGTAGCTTCTCCTGTACTAATATCGTGAGAGGGTAGTGCCAATTCTAGGACCTCTTCCTTATTTATTCTATCCATCCATTTTGCTATGAAAATTCTATGCA